AGAGCTTGAATCACCGTTCGTCTCTGACCTGCAAGACTGGCACCATGCTGATTGAACCACACCTGCATTTGTTTCTGTGAGCTGACACATAGTCTCACCATAGTTGGTGAATTTCTCTTTGCACACAGAATCATTCTGTATACCCTTCATTTAATCACATTTGCATAAGACAAACCATCTTTTAACAGATACTCAGAATTACAGAATTACCATGGACTGATGGCTCAAAACTAAGAAAACAGTGGTGTTACAGCACTCTAAACTTTTCAAACCTGTGAGGGTAGTTTGTGTTTAACTGTGAGAATTGTGTTATGTACTGTATTCAGATGCTTTATCAGTTTGCAGTTCTGAAATCATATTAAATTTGAAAACCTCTTTTTTTTTACATTTTAATTTATTCTGCTAAAATGTCAAGATTTTTCTGAGTGTTAGTCATTTTGTGGCAAATCTGTTGAGGAAGTACTGTACTTCAAAGGCTCTGGAAGACCAACTTTATGATCATTTTATTGTTCCAGTATTACAGTCAAAAGCTTCTCATAACTATTAATCCGGCCAGTTTTGCAGATTTGTGGACATTTGAAGAGTGTTATATAAAAAAGTGTTTTTGAAGTATAAATTTCATACAGTATGACTCATTAATAACAGATTAGCCTAATGTTGGTTTACTGATTTATTTTATGACCATGTTAGCATTCTCAGATTTATCCCTGTGATGTTCTTAGTCTCCCTTGTCCCTTATGAAGATCTCCCTGTAACTACACACGCTGGAGTAGGATACTTTTTCTGGGTGTCCAAACATTTTTGTACCAACTAGGAAAGCTGAAAAGCTCAGATAGAAACACCTTCTCTCCATTTTGTTAATGAAAAAGTTCCTCCTTGAATGTCAAGATTGTCATGAAAAGATCCTTTGAGTAAACGGTGACTATAGGGAAGAAGTCTTTGTTACATTTTGATCAAACAGTAGTTCATGTTCATTTTAGGGCAACAAAAAAACATTTCCTATCACTTTAAAACCTTATGAGTCACTTGAAGCTGGTTTCTGACTGCCTGTTCCCATCAATTACTAAAAGCATACTATCCCGACAGCTCTCTGAGTATGAGCTTACAACCAAGGCTAAAAAGGACCTTCAGGGAACCAAATTTATAAATGAACACTAGCACTGATAGGCAGGTTTATTCGATTTTGTTGTTGTTATTGTTGATCCTTTAAAGTCCTGAAGCTGATCAAGCTGAATACAAACGCATTCTTGTCATGCTCTACAACTACAAAGAGGCTTTATTGGAAAAGATAAACCTGAAGTGTATTGCACATTAAAACTCCTGCTGGAAAGAGCTTTGTAATTCCACAGACTTCTGCACATGTTCAATCTTTCTTAACTGGCAAGGAAGAAAGGTGGCACAGAGTCAGCACTCCTGAATGATGGAGCGCTGACCAGATAGCTGTCTTGTTGCTCAGATGTTGTATGGGTGAGACATAAACTGGAATCTGCCTCCCTTTATCCAGTTATCCACTTAGGAGAGCCCGTTCTGTTTGTAGACCACATCGTTAGTCATTTCATCAGTAGCCTAGGTTTAATTCAGTAACATTGGCTTCTATTTAGGTTTTAACCAAGACTAATACTTTCAATCAGGTTTCTCTGTCCATTTTTCCCCACGTGTATGCCCAGAGAGCTGTGATATACTGTAAACGGGCTTTTCCAAAAATTGTATAAAAGGTGAAATGGGTTTAACAATAATTGTATTTAGGAAAATGAAATTTGATTAAGAGTCAATATTCTTGCAAAGGGCTAGCAAAGAGTTTTCTAATAAATTGTGACTTAATTCTTACAGTAAGCTGATTCATAAATTATGATTATTTTAATGAAGAGTTAGGTAATTATGAGATTAGCTTGAAGAATTAGATGAAGGAGGTCAGCGAAAGTACCTGGATCTGGAAATTAAAATGCAAAATAATTTGTATCACATTTTTCTTTCAGATCTTATTTATAAAATCATACAGTGTATGACTTTCCCATTGTTTGGAACCTACAGTATTCGTTTTAACAGGAAACTACTAATAAAATCACCTCTGAATATCTTTGTGGTTGATATGATTACACAATATCATCAGAAAATGGAAAGCAAGTAATGTTTTATTGTCTGCTTAATCTTTATTTTGAAAGTCACATTGAAATTAAAAACTGTTTGGCAAGAGAGACCTAACCAAGGATGGCAGCAGTAACATAAACAACAAAATCAATTATGATCACAGGCAAACTCTAGCAAAATAACTGGCAAAGCTCATAACAGCTGGGTTTTCTATATATATATATTAATATACTGTACTTGGCTGATGATTTTATTGAAAGAGACTTGTATTTGTACTCATTTATACTGCTGGGTATTTTACTGCAGTGATCTTGGTGAAGTACTTTGCTCAGCACCCTGCCTAGAATTTGAACTCACAGTTTTCGGATTATACTGTACGTTCAGAGCCATAACCAAAACTCCAAACTGCTGCCACAGATAAAGTACAGTACTGATTAGTGGTGTTCTCACATGACATGAAATTAGCTTTCTGTTTCTTTGGTTGAGTAGATTCTTTAGACCTAAAATGTGCTTTCTATCAGTGTATTTTTAACTGACCTGTCAGTCACTGACAGTCACAAGGCTTTCTGAATTGATATGTTAGTGATGTCTGATGTTGCTTTCTTCAGTTCAGTTCCAAATTAAGTTCAGTAACACCAAGTGATAAATGTAGAAAAAACTTAAATCACCTCATCTCACAGTTTTGTGAAATTGAAATTGGTAAAATCTCCTTTTGATGTTTTGTCATAATAATTACAGCCTAACAGACCACTATGCAAACATCTTAACCAATTTATTTAAAATTAATTCCTCAATGAGTTTCAACTGAAACTTTAGCTGTTTGTTTCAAACCAACATCCTGAAGACTATGTTATTTGTGGAACAAAATGTATTCTTTCAGCTTTATGAATGGTTTGAGAGAAACAAATTCAATGTTCATGACAACAAATGTCTGACAATGAGTCAAATCGATTTGACTGGTGAAGGATTAGTGAATACTGTACCACACTTCATATTGGTTTCTAATTAATGGTTTATCTTGAGTTGTTGTGATCACATACTGGAATATTTAGATCAACATGAATTAAAGATGTAAGTGACAAGATTAATTTCTTGTGAACCACACTAACCTGTATGAATAACAGTTTCTGTTGTCAGCAGTAGAAAAAGTAAAGAATGAGTAAATGATCAATGTTCATAACAAACGTTCTGTATATGGTAACTTCTAATTCTAGTTCCATGACTTTTGCACATCCGATGTAGCACAACTTGTAAACTTACAATCAGAAATGTAAGATTTAAATTTTTAGAGACTTGAATTTTAAGTATTAAAATGTATTAATTTATTTATTGTATTATTAAATAAATGTATTATTTATTTATTTTATTTATTTCCACTTAAGGTTTTCTGCCACTCACATATGCACAAGTTATACAGTACCATTACCCATGTAAAGATCATTACCATGTAAATATTTGCTGTTTCTTGCCTTTAATTTTTTCTTGATCATGAAAAAATATAAAATTTGAAGATGATTACTTTCTCCTACATTTTAGAAACAAAAAAACAAGTCTTTCTATCAAGCCTTTCTAACATATCCTGAGGTATAGTAACCAGAAACACTGGTTGTTAATGATGCTATATAAATGCATAACAAAGAGCTACAGACACTAAACTGTCAGTCCATAAAACGCTTATTAATAAGAAAATGTTTAATTTTGATGATAAACGCAATATTAAACACTCAATTTTTGTTATAAAAACACTATTGATGTGCCTGTTAATCTATTCCAGGTTATGAAGAATTAATTAACTGAATTTGTACACAGCAATGTAAAACAACAGAACATACAGTAACAACAGTAACATAAATGTTAATTTTCCCATCCATTCCTTTATTTTCTTACTAATTTATCCAACACAGGGTCGTGGGGAAGCCAGAGACTATCGCAACAGAACAAGGCAGGAAGCACCCTGAAAGGGAGGCCAGTCCATCACAGGGCAGACACAGACAAACACACACACTCACACCAGGGCCCATTTTCCCAGAAGCCAATTAATCTACCGCTATGTCTTTGGACTGTGAGAGGAAACCAGAGCCCCTAGAGGAAACCCATGCAAATATGGAGAGAACATACAAACTCCACACAGAGAACACCCCAGGAATTGAACCCAGGGCCCCAGTGTTGTGAGCCAGCAATATTAACGACCATGCCTCCATCCCTATTGTTTAGAAAACCTGTAAACTGGCTGACTGCAGAACTGTAAATGTTTTTATTGTTTTTGAATTATCAAAGAGGTACAAATGTTTTAAAACACTGAATGGAAGTAAATGTTTTTTTTTTTTAAGCTGACTGTTGTTTAATTTGTCTAAGTGAGGCAGAAAAAGACGAGAAGTGGATTGCTGATACTGAGAAGGTGCCCTGCTCAGAATGCAGAGGTGGCTCTCGGAAAGGACATTGACAGATGAACCGCACACATCTGCCGTCCAAACTGCAGCTGACCAAGAAACTGTCTCAATAGTTACTTTTTAAGGTGTTTCTTACACAAGCACATCTCTTAAATATACACATGACTACTCTCAGGGGAATTTTAAGGACCTTTTAAAACATTGAAGCCAATCAAGGCCATAGTAGGTACCACTCCTAAAAAACAGATTTTATTTAAGAAAAATAATACATTAAAACAGAGAAGATCAGGATCTTAAGGCTGATGAGTTACAAGTACCTGTGAAATTTTACAAATTGAAATTATTTTATATAGGTTAATTTGGACAATGGCATCTGAATGAAAAAACAACTACAAATTAGGTGATTTAGTTAAAAAAATGTTCATGACTACCTACAGTAACAAACCTGAAAATGCACAATATTGACAAGAGGTATAGTAAGACAACAACAGAAGGTTTTCCATTCAATCAACATTCACTGTGTGAAATCAGTGTGTATACATTTATTTATATGGTCTCTATAAATGGGTAACAATTAAATTGTAGATAAAGATTTTAGCATTACATGGGAATTGAGGAGAGAAATATTCTTGATTCCAAATAAATAAAGCATGGATTTATTCCTGTGATCATACAATACCTTCTCTTTATGGGAACAACAGGATGTATGACATATTAGTCAAGACCTAATATGCGTCAATCCTTATTTCTCCCCAAGATACCTTTATTAGAAACACCATATAATCAATGACTGCAAACAATTATTGACATTATTATTCAGTAGAAGTTTCAAACTCTCCGGTGTGTTCTGACAATCCTTCTATCTTCCATAAATAGCAATTATCTTGTTGGACTTATTCTCTACATTTTAGATCTGATCAGCATAGGGCTGTAGTGTTGCAGGTTTAACAGAAATACTGAAGTTTGCCAAAGACAGGTTACTTGCACTGTGCAGTATATATTTATTCATCTAGCAAAACAAGTATTTTTAAATTGAATTCTTGAAGTCATCTGGAAATTCAAAGTAGAAATCCCTGTCTTGTGTTCTACACTGAGAGTTAAAGAGAAAGTGGAGTGCAAATGTGTTTATTTTAAAACGGAAAATATAGGCTTTCATCAATGTCAACAGAGGTCTGGAAGCCAGCTTCCTTCAATACTGTTTTGCTTTCATTAAATGAAGTTCAGTGTGTTGTTAAACAATTAGAGAAGTGACTGGGAAAAGCAATAACAATCAAATAAAGAAAACACCTATTGTAATTAAGTGAAAAGAAACCTAAAATGAGAGTCCAAAGAATACCAAGAATTATATTACATGGGAAGGAAGAATAAACGGCCCAGATTGTGATCGATTAACTTGCACAAGAACTGTCCATCTCGGATTTTTTACTATTTTATAATTTGTGACTTAATCAAATACACAAAGCAATTGCAACAATATTAAGAATATACATCAGAAAGAAAGGCATGCAAAAAGGAGAATTAATGTTTTGTCAACAGGAAAAATGATAATTGTGTGAATTCATGCAAGATGCTTTTTCTAGCTACAAAAATACAGAAACTCTTTCAGCCACTAAGTGCAGGAAAGTGGAATATTTGAAGAGAGCACTCCATGTAGAAAAACAGGGTGATGAAGGCCAATGATTCTGCAATAGATTGTAGACTGTGAGAAATTTAGATACACTACAGTGAACTGTAAGTTCACACTTCCAAACTGGTCAAAATGTCCAAAAAGGATTCAGTTAATGTACATCGTGGATAAGATTAGCAGGAATGTGATTATGGTGCTTATAGTAAAGCATGTCTAGCAGAAATGGAAAATTCTGTCATAATACAAAAGTTTCATATTATGAAAAATAATTATTTGTAATTATATTACAAATATATTTGGTACAATTCAGCACACATAATTTAAAAAATGCCTTTGTTACATCCCAGCCTATCTCAGCTGTTTGAGTAGTACATACACCTTATTTTCTCTAGAGTAAGAAATCAAGCATACTCTACAGTAAAACAACTGGTGCAGAGGGACCATTGGAAATCATGTATCCATGTACAGTACCCGGAAAATGTGCTAAAACCTTAAGAAAGGGTAATGAATTCCACGCATAAGCACAGCAACACAAAGAGAACTGAAATATATTACAATCAATTTATATAAACTGATATCTCTGTCTCCCCTGATCCCATCATAATCAGAAATTTCTCCTCCAAGTCATAAAAGCAGTTTATAGCATGCAGAGAAGAAGAGGGGCACTGCACACTAATCTGTTTTTCTTTAACCTATGAAGGTCCATGGTGAAGCCTGGTCAGATATTAAGTTAAAAACAGAGAGAGAAAGGGAGGTGGTCTCATCACAGTCTCTAGTAGGCGTTAGTCACCTACAGAAACTCTCCTAATTTCAGTTAAATTGCTTAGTTACTTAGCTGTTGTAGTACCAGCTGAAACAAGCTTTTCGAGCTGTCAAGGAAGCCTCTCAGGGTGTCTGCTGGGATTTGTGCCCAAACTGCAGGCAGTGCCAGAGTGATTTTAGTTTTATGGGCAATGAACTCAGAAGTGAAGAAACACAAGGGGAATGTTAAAATATCAGGGAAGGGGGAAGGAGGAAGGAGGCAGGAGTTTGGATCTCAAAATAACCCTCTGGTTAAAGTACATTTCTTTGGAACTGGCAGAGTGAAGTTTGAGTGTGATAGTAGTCACTCTCCATAGAGCTCTCTGAAGTGTGAGAGCTGCTGAGAGAGCACAGCATAACTCTCCCTGGCAGTCTTCAGCTGGCGCACGCAGAGGCCAATCAGGGACTGCTGGAAGGCCAGAACCCGTTCTCTGTGATAGTTCTGAATCTGTTAATTACAAGACAGGACAAGAAAATTATTAGAGCAAAGCTAAAGCATTATTAAATTAGCAGGACTAATTATCAGTCTGCATCAAAAATTACTGCAGAGCCTTTGAGTTAAAAGATTTCAAAGGCACTCTGCCACAGGCACAGTTTCAAGGGAATGTTTGTGTGTGTATGTCTTTGTGTCTAATTATCACTTTTAATGAAATAATGTTTCATATTTGTTTTCTGGTACAGTATATTTTATTTTTTTGGTTATTACTCTTCTCTACACAGGAAATCTATAGGTTTCTGGCTACTTACTGTATAGGCAAAACTCAAGTTTCCTCCCCTTGATCATATTAACAAGTATCCTATATTTAACTGTCCAGACTACACATGGCCATCCCACACTACGATAAATGTATTTATTTATCTGGAGTAGCTGTTAAAGCAGTTACACTATGTTGTTTAGCAGATCAATCTGCATGATGTCTTAGTGTGCATAAAAGCTGTTTAGCAGATACTGAGAAAAAATAACTTAGTCTTGAAATGTAGTCTACAGTCAAATACTCACTTACCTCACATTTGGCCATTCCAGAAATCTCAAGAAATTCTCTGTCAGTAGCCTTTTTAATTTCTTCCATCTAAATCGCAATAAAAGCTATTTAGAATTCAGGACTGAAAACACAGATTTCATGTTATTTTTTAACCATTTTGAATTAGTCTGAAGACAGAATACATAAGAAGTATAAAATGTAACTTAAATGTGAGAAAGCATGTAGTTCTCATATTATTGATAATTAAAGAAATAAGAGCATACAGTACATGGTACACCTTCAGGTTTCCTTTACTAAAATACAGCTAGTAAGTCATGTTAGTGATTTTTCTATTTCCAGTCAACACATATGTAGGCTTACTTCTAACTACTGTATCTTCATAATATTAGAAAGAAATAATGATAAAGCACTCATTCCACCATAGTAACCATTACTAGTGCATGTAATGTTCATTTTTGATTTGCAAGAAGACTGGCCTAGCATGAAATATTTTACATAAAGATTGATAATTCATTTGAATCTTAAATGTGTTTAAATTATGGATGGCTCCCAAACCATACTTATTTCAGCAGCAAGCATCAAGATAGAATTGTTTAGTTCTTCTAAGAAAGTACTGTAAGTGCTAGACCTACAGTAATTGAGAAAACCTGCTTTCAGCCTTAAATATTAAGTTTTGATGGATTAATTCAGTGAATGCCTCCAGATTGTATTCTAGAATCAAGAAGAATTTGCTGACATCTGCTGGCAAGTTATACTTCTGAAATGAGTATTTAAAGGTCCTTGCCAGTTAACTTGCAATAGTATTTTATTGCAGTTTGGGATTATCCAAATAATTAAATTCTGCATAAAAGTACCCTATTCTATAAATTAATAGTGTTGCTTTCTTTGAGTGTTTGAATGGCTACTGTATGTCAAGGCTAGGACTAGGACTAGACCAGTTGCAGTTAAATCAATAAGCCAGCCTCCACAGGGCTATAGGCAAAGAAGGCCCAAGATCAGATAAAAGATCACACAGAAACAGAGCCAGGATAGGATAGAATGAACAGATGCATGAAAAGAAGCAACTGTGCCATAAGAGAGTTTCCATCTTCATAGACTGGGACTACAGAACTTCCAGGTCATTGAGCACTTAAGAGACTGATCTCAACCCTTAAAGGGAAACTGCAGTCCCCTTCCAGTCCAATTGCTCAGAGGAGTTGTTTAATCTCGGTAACAAAATAAAATCGATTACAGTATAGAAAAAAAAATCACAAATTTTGAATTAAGAACAAAACAGTGAACTTTGTGAAAGTACTGTAGGTTGCCATGTTGTTGCAAACATGCGCTCTAGTTCCCACGAATTGTGATGTGAAGCGGCCCCTTCCTGCTCACTAGTCACTGTAATAACTAATGTGATGCACAGGCAAATAAGTACAGGTTGTGCAGCAGATATTCCACTGAAGAAATGTTTCAACGTGATCTACATGCAGAATTAACAAGTATTGTAAGTCGTTTTTTTTGTTGGCAAGATCATTTCCAAATCGAGAGCAATATTTCTATTGGATTGAAAGCGCACAAGCCTGCTTCTTTATAAGGCTGATAAGGCTGCTTCACATCATCTGAGGTTTTGGTGTCTCATTCTGGATTACAGAATGTGGCACTGTGCAGACCTGAAAATTTAATATATTTTGTGATGTAAAATTGAAGGTTTTACAAGTTACTGTGTACATTGTACTTTCATTATGGTTTGAAATGCATTCATCAATGCTTGGTCTAACCCCAAAAAACAAAATATAAAAACAGTACGTAAGGAACTTGTACAATATTTTTTAACTATAAAAATGCAACAAAATAATTAAAATATTAAGTGCATG